TAAACCTTTGACCGCTCTCTCTCTCTCTCTCTCTCTCTCTCTCTTTTTCTTTATAACTAAAGTTATAAGAATTATTTTTATTTTTTATTTCGAAACGATAGGATCCAAACTTTGACCGCTTCTCTCTCCTTAATTAAAATTACAAGAGTTATTTTTTATTTCGAAACGATAGACGACGCGATAGGATCGATTCGACGAAACAAACGGTTCGTTAAACGATGATGTTGAATCAGATGTTTCCCCCTTTCTTTCTACGTCGAATTTGTAGCATTTGTGAATCAAACGATCGCATTTAGAGGCGCGCCTTTTGAATCACTGGTGCAAGTTTTCACCCGACATACAAATCGACGATTTATCATTACGCGATTATCCAACTGCAATTACATGGAAATTGTGCTTGCTTGCTGTGCGATGATTCTGTTACAACAGCGTTTCAATGTTTCGTTACACAAATCGTTCGATTTTATGGAACGAGCATCGACGAGTTTATTATATCGTTCTGAAAATTCAATTCAATTTTGACGGTTTAATCGTTGAATCTGTTCGAGATCTGTTCGTCACGTTTCTGGAAAAAAATTATATTAAATATACATATTTTTTCGTTGCTTGCAAGAGATTTTTTATAAACGTTTATCCGTTTGGATGGAAACATTAGACTTTCCAGTTCACGGAGAAAGTTATGCATTAACGGGTCCGCACCGCAGACTCGTCCAGATAGATGAATAACGGCGCAACGATGATCCAGTGTTGAGGAGCGTTGCTTCTGCCAGGGGCTTCGACCTAGTTTCTTTCTTTCTTTTTTTTTCTTTCTACTTCGATTGAACGCGTTCGATCAAACCAACCTCTCGTTACAACGTTTTCACGTCAGAATTTGAAGATAACGCGTAAAGACGAGAGGCGAGATTCCTCTTTCGTTAGGGGGAATTGGCTTTTCGAAAAACAAATTCTTCTTTAAGCAAAGGGTGTCAATGGAAGAAAATAAATTCTCTCTAAATTATATTCCGCGTTTACACACGGCGTTGAGAATCAGAACAATCGAATTCCCGAGCAAGACCCAATTCTATAGATCGTCCCTATTTCAATTATAGTTCGATGATATAACGTATGTGCATATTGAAAATCTAGGAACGAGAAAGACCGTCTTCTTATTATTTCTTCGATAAGATAAATAAGATATGGGGAGAGATAGGTGCAACGTTACTGTTTGGAGTTTTAATAAATCGTCACCTAAATTCACTCGATTTTCGTCACGAGGAGCTTACTCTTTACTTTCCTCATCGATAGGTGACACGCAACGATCTCGTCTCCCTTCGGATACGTTTTCTATTTAGAGATGGAAAGGATCGGAGGCTAAGTAGATGGATGCTTCATCGAGTAATTAGAGAAGACAGTAGTAGCCTCCTTTCTTGACGAATGGAAATAACGTGTAAGCGTGGGAGAACGCATTAATTATAAAGAATTTCTTGATATCGAAGGAATAAAATACTTCTCCTTCTTCGTTATTTTCTATTCTCGACTAGAAAAGCGAATTTTTTTTTTTTCTCTTTTCTGACGAAATACCGTTTTATCAATCGATTATTAAACGCTCGTGGAACGGAATCAAAGGGAACGACGATTAAAAAGAACGATTATCGAATAATACGAATTCCACGAGTACCTTTCGGATCCTTGAGCAGCCGCGTCATCAAAACGGATGTGAACGTTTCGAGAGTGTTGCGCGAGAAAATATTTACACCAGGATATTACGCGAGCAGAAATGACGTGTTAGCATATACGTAAGTCTCTGAATAAACCAGCTTCGATTCGTGATTCGACGATGAAACAACAAAATTCCATATCGATTGCAAACACGCTCGGGATCCGAATTCATGGAAAAAAATCATTTCACGATTCCCCTGGTATACACAAGAAATCATCGCTTGGAGAAACACATAGAGCACAGAAAAGCGAGATACGTGGCTCCAACTTTCTCAAAACTAGATTTCTCGAGTATCGAGACGACGATGAGATGGGTGATTTTGGATCTTTGGAGAGATCCATTTAGAAGGCTGGGAGAATCGTCGAAAATGTTCTCTCTCTCTTCCGTCCACTTTCTCCTCTCTTTTGTAGAAATAATAATTTAAGTTAAGATATATAACAATGGATTCCGACTCGTGGAAATTATCTTTCAATTCCGTCCTCTTCAACGTTCAACGATTTTTTTCAACGTAATTGATTAATCGAATTTCAATCAAGCAATTATTATGGGACACGACGTTACGAGGAGGTCGGGTTTCTACCATGTTTACCATGCTACGTCGAAGGAATTGACTTTCCAATTCGTACTCGCCTCGATCGGATAGATCGACTTCTTCTTCTTCTTCTTCTTCTTCTCGATTTCTTCGACGGGGAGAATCCTTCCATCTGCTTGTTTTCGTTCTGGACGAGGAGCAGCTCGTTCCACGATCGATCTCCTCTCTTCGTGCTCCTTCGAGGAGGCACAATGGTCGGCGTTTATTTTTTCCTTTTTTTTTTTTCTTCTTCTCTGCAGAATTAATGGCCCAGAGTTAATTGCCCGGAATTGCTTCCAAACCGCCTCACGGAACGAGCAAACCGCTGTAAAATCACCGTCGAATAGCGAAGAAGAAAGGAAGAAAGAAGAAATCGACGATTGCGAGGATTTGGAAATCGAGTTCGTGGAAACGAAGAAAAAGTTGCATTTTCTTTTCTCAGAGGGCATCGAGTTAAAGCATTACATCTCGTACGAGTATTTCATCTCGCGCGAGAAAATCGAAGAAAATTCCCCCTGGAGAGGAGGAGAAGAAGATTGGGTCGTTTAATGGCGCGTCTCGTTTTATTTATGCCGTTGTCGATTTAACGAGAAACTTTCCCACCCGCGCGACTCAAAACTTTCTTCTCACGTGTATCCCTCCTCTTCGAGAGATCCCTTAAGAGGATGCGGCAAAACGTGCATTATTCACCGACCATTCAACATTTTCAATTCCGCAAACTTCCGTTCTTCTCTTCTTCATCTTCCTCTCACCTCTTTTCTTTCTTTTTAAAGAAAGATTCGAAGCGTACTCGAAGCGTACTCGTTTGGAGGCAAGAGTCGGAGAGGGTTGGTGGTTGCACGCGAGGGGGAGGAAGAAGAAGAAGAAGAAGAAGAAGAGGAGGAGGAGGATGTCGAGGACGTATCCCTTGGATCGATCGATCGATCGAATTTTCCCGTTCGAGCGAACGGAGAGAAGAGTTCGAGCAGTTGGTGTCGATCTGGTGGGGGACACGCGAGAGAGTTTTACGTACCGAAATGAAACTACTCGGCGGAGAAAGTGAGAGCCGACGTAGCGGACGGGCTGGGTAACGACGAGCAGGCGACTGGGGCCCCTCGAGACGAGAGGATAGACATGGTGCAGGCCCTCCATCGTGTGGATCTTCCTCCTTCCTCGGAAAGATCCTCGGATAGATCGTGATCGTGGAAGAAAAAGTGAGAAAAAGAGAGAAAAGTGGAAGGAAACGAGTTTTGAAACAGTGGAATCGAGCGTTCGTCTGTAATTTTGCAATTTGTAGATTTTTACGTGTTTTGTTTTTGTTTTTTTTTTTTTCTTTTTCCGAACGAACTCGAAAAGTTCGACTGTTCTCGTTGGAGGGGGGGGAAAAAAAAGAAGAAGAAAGTGCGAAGATGTAGAAGACCGGCGAAGAAGCATGAAGCCGATATTCTCGGATGATCGTGGTGGAATGTTGGAACGGTACGGGTGTTAGGGTCGTAGGCAATAATCGCGATAAATAGATGAAGGGTGTCGCGATATATCGGTGAGAAGGATTGTGTTATGGTGGTGAGGACCGTTCAGGATAAACGTGGAAGAAAAAGAGGAAGAAGAAGAAGAAGAAGAAGAAGAAGAAGGAGAAGAGAGGGTGGAGCGGGTTTCTTTCTTTTGAGGAACCGCTTCTTGGAAGTGAGAGAAAAGGGAAGAAGAGGGAAGAAGACGGAGAAGATCGGAAGGAAGACGAGATCGGGCTTGATTTGACAGATTGGTGAGTAAAGAAGAAGAAAAAAGTAAAAAAAAATATACGGACCTTCGTCGAAGAAATTTTTTTCTTTTTTAAAATCTCGATGGGATAGGATCTTCTCGGACAGGTAATTCGAAGAATATTTTTTCATAATTAGATTCTCCCGTTTAAAAGATCTAGAAATTTGAGATTTTTTCCCCCCCTCCCCCTCCCGTGGGTTCCGCGAGAGATCCTTTCCCGAGATTTTTTTTTAAATTAAATTTAACGCACGGAAAGCGATGACGAACCTCGCGCAGAGTCGTTGTTGTTGGAAGGTTGTTGGGGGGGGGGGGGAATAATAACAAGCGGGTTGAGGAAAATTACAAGTTACTCTCAAGTTCATTCGAGTCGATGCGTTGGAAATTGTAATACAATAGCCGAGCCGATGGCCATCGGAAAAATTGAGTGAAAGTGAGAAGGTATCTGGGTATCAGCTTTTGAAAGAAAGCTGTATCACCGTGTAAAACGCGCGCCAACGAAACTAGTGATTTTCGATCGAACGAGGTGGCCATTATATATACCTGAATGAACGAATCGTGGCCTTCGCCGCGATTTAAATTTCCACGGATGGAAACTTAATGGGCTCGGTGGTGGTTTCGATGTAATTTAACGGGATTCGATCGTCGCTTAATCACGCGTGTCCACGCGTGAAATTGTCGAATTTCCATAATTGGAACGTAAGTCGGATCGTTCTGTGTCATAAAAAGTCAGAACGAAGAAATTTCGAGGGAAATTCGTAAAAATAAATTAATTCGGACGAAAGAAATTGCGTTCGTAGAAGTTCAACAGGATTACGAGAGAAAGATTAAGAGAGAAAATTTCTCGCGGCGAATTGGCAATGGGTATCGAAGTATTCAACTTTCCGATCTCGTAGCGAGTGAAAGTACTTCCGTTCTTTTCCAAAAGGAGACGAGCAAAGGGGACGAGCATTAAGGATGCACGGTCCGCTACCGTTCTACCGATTGCCTAAACACCACTCCCCGTTTACGTAACACCGCTCCCCCCGTTGCCCCGATACAACTTTGAGGAGAAACGCGCGACAACAACCCACGAAACCGTGTGCTCTTCGACGTTTCTTTTTTTTTTCCTCCTCCGCGGAATTAACGAAACGATACCCAACGTTAATATAAACGTTCCACTCAGCGCGCTCTTCTTTCTCCCGCGATAAAACACGAGAGTTTCGATCAAAGAATTTTCTACCATTGAATATCAAGCGAGATAAATTACAGATTGGCAAAACGGTATGAATATTCGATCGACGTCGGCACATTCGCGTTTGTTCGACACACTTTTTCTTCTCTCGTTTCCAACTCTCTGAGACCTTGGCTGAGATTACTCCGTTTTACGCGGGCAATTAATTTCTCCTAGAAGAAAGTAACAATGCAGATCGTTCCGCGATCGTTCCGCCATTCGTTCGTTTCGTCTCGTTCTCTCGACGAGAGGAGAGGAGGGGAGAGGACGAGAGAGTTGGGCGGGGAGCGAAATTTTGAATCGGACGGAATCGACGTGGAAGAAGACCGCGAGACGGATTCGTTACACAATGGAAAGTGTTGTAGCTGGTCGTGAAAAGGGGTATCTCGCGAACTAGACCGCGAACGAGCGTACTTCTTTTCAAGGCCACGAAGAAAGAGCGCAACGTTTTGTTCGGATTTCTTCGAACCGGTTTCCTTCGAAAGGGGCCCGTTGCCCCCTTCACGCCACCGTCAAACCACCGATCAAGGTCGCCTTATAGAAAAATCAAACCAAGGGAAAAACGTCGCCGTTTTCCAGATTCTTTCGAGTTTCGATCGAGTATCGTCGCTCGAAAATCATCGAAAACCTTCAGCATCTCGGCGAGAAACTGTTCATCGGCAGTGTTTCGTTTCCCGAAGCAAAAGGATCCCCGATACGATCGAGGTGGATCGCGGGAGGAAAGAAACGGGGCCGGGGATCGGACGAAAACAAAATTTCACGCGCGTGCCTCTCTTATTTTGCCTTTTTTTTTTCTTTTCCTCCGTTCGCTTTCGGCGAAAGTAAACGGCGCCTGTGCGCGTTGCGCGGAGAAAGTAATGGATCGCGCTCTTAATGTCGGTTCACACGGAATTTCGGACGGCGGGGGGGGGAGGGGGAAGGGGTGGAGGGGGATTGGGCCCGGCGCCAATCGGCTGCCACCGGCCACCACCTCGCCTTTCTCGAAACAGCTGGGGGACTCGAACGCTGCTACTACGATTATGCGTGTCTTCGACGCAACGTCTTCCCTCGTACGCGGGAGAAGAAACTCTCCAACTCTGCTTACTTTCGAGCACGATAGCGCCGATTCTCCTCACCTAGCCGTGGCGGTGAGGTGAAAGTTCGCAAATCGCTGAACCTTTTTTTCCTTCCTCGTTCCGAATTTCCGAGTGAATCGAGTTGAAACGGGTGTTATTACGGGAGTAATACCGAATAAAGATGAATAGCGCGTGAGGGGGGAGAAAAGAAACAACTTTCGTCTGGATGCAAGGTCGGCAATTTTCTCTTCCTTAACGGAGAACGAAGGCAACAATTAAAATACATTGGCGTCGACATGTCGATCGAACTAGCTTTTAAATCCAGTTAAAAGAAACTGGTTCGTTTCGTTTTCTACCGGGTTTCACTTTTCTTCTTATCGTTTCCGTTTCTCTCGTTTCGAATCGTCGTTCGTTCGACAAAACTTTGAAAAAATTGTCGTCCCTCGTCGCAGTTACGATCTTACTTTTAATCTCTATACAACAGTTCCCTCGATCATTAGAACGTGGTTGGCGAGATTGTTGCGAGGAAGAAAAATGGATAAAGAAGAAAAAGGACGGTGGTCGATGGCTCGTAACTTCCGGCGAAGAGGGTGGCGGCGTGAACATGAACTTCACACCGCCGTGAGCGCAAGAAGCGCACTTTCACTTCTACTCGGACTACTCGGCAGAGCCAATGACCTACTAACACATCGAACCGTTCACATCGCCGCTCCGATGTTGTTATTCCGCCAAGGACGTTCCGATTCGTTCGATACGTTCAATTATCCCTTCTACGAAAGAAGGAAAAAAAAAAGGAAAAGACCGAGACCACTTTTTTTAAACTTTGCTAACAAACTCTCTTCTCTCCACCTCTCATCGTCTACTAACTGCGAGATGAATCCTTCGATATTCTTCGCCCGATTCCTTCCTTCGCTTCCTCTTCCTTTTCCCCGTCGATTCATCAACGACAATGGCCGAGGATTTTTAAATCGTCCGTTACGAAACGGAGTGACAAGTACCGTTACGTGGTTAAATTGTCCTGAACGCGGTGATCAACTCTGCAATGAACGACGATATAAAATTCCCGCCTCCGCGTTTTCACTCCTCCTCTCGATAACTGACCAACCGGAGGATGTTGTTCGTGGAACGAATCTGCCTGAATCATTGAATCGACGCGTTTCGTTTCCTGCCTTCGAGGCCTGACCCTCTTTTTACTTTCACGGGCCGCGACGACGTGACGCAAACAACATATTTTCGACGAAGAATTCGCTCCTCTTCGAATTTCTTCTTCTCTCGGGCGGATCGAATCGCTAGGCAACGCGATCTTCCTTTCGGCCGAAGTTAAAAAGAAACGACGTTCTCCTTTTCGATTTGGACGGATTCGTTTGTCGAGGCACGAAACGGTCGCGTGCGATGCAACTGGCTTCGTGGTAAAAGAAGAAGAAGAAGAAGGATTCGAAGAGGATCCGTCAGGAGGAGCTGCGTGTTTTTCCATGGCTCGTTAACCATAGCTCGATCGTGCTGCTTCGTTCTTTTTGGAAAATTGATTCCAGCGATCGGCCGAATCGAATAGTTTGATCGCGAGAGAAAATGCTAGAAGAAATTCGTGGATTCGCGGATTCTAAGGAACGATCGGATCAGAATTATTCTCGTGTGCAAGAAAAAAAAAAAAAAGGAATCGACCGCGACACCTTTCGATTTTCTCTCTCTCTCTCTCTTTGTCGAGAACTGTTTGCTCTTTCGTCACGTTTTATCTCGACCGCTTTACACGCTATGCCTCTTGCTCCGAAAGATACCGTATCGAATGTTTAACAATTTGCACGAGTTAATTGAAAGAGGCTATCGGCGAAATAAAGTGGCGGCGAGATAAGTTTGGAGAGAGAACCCGTTTTCCACGGGGAGGGATAAATTGAATTCAAACGCTTTGCTCAAATGATATTCGACTTGTTAACACATATAACGCGATAGTGGAAGGACAAACAGCGAGAGAAAAAAAGAAAAGAATGAGTTTCCAAGAGAGGTGTTGAAGTTCCAACCGAGGACCCTTTTTTTTTTCCAATTTTTTTTCTTTCAAAAATCCCCTTACTCCTCGGATTTGCATTGCAGCCAAACGACGATGGATGCAGCCAGATCGTGCCAATGGATACTCATAGGAATACTCCTCGTCGTCTCGTCGAATCGCGCCACCAGCAGTCGCGCGGGATCGATACAGGGATCGAGCCTTGGCAGATCGAAGACGATCTTCGATCCCGGTTACATGGAGGCGTCGCGTGGCAACGATGGGAATCGGACCGAGTTGACCGTCAACTCGCCTCGTAGACGCCGATACGTTCGATTCCCGACAGGGCCGGCCGGATATCTGTTCGAGGGTGGTGGCGGTCCTCCGATAGGGAGGAACCTCGGAGGTTTATATCCAGGAGGTGTTCCCCGTTTCCCGTCGTGGAGGCAGCACAAATCGATCTGGAGAAGTCCCATCTCGGAGTACAACAGGCCCCCTGTGATGGGCCATCGGACCCCGCGCTTGATCTTCCGCGACAACGACTTTCCGCCCCCGGTCGGGGGCAGTGCGCCCTCCTCCTTCTTTCAACAGTCCAACCACTTGCCGGATTTCGAGGACGACGCGAGAGGTATGAGTTGCGTGAGTTTAGCAGGCGGGAACGAGAGACTTCACGACTTCGTTCGACGAAAATTGATTAATTTTCTTGAGTCGTTTCTTTGACTTCGTAGATATTCCCTTTCCTCCTTCTTTTTCTTTCTTATTAATTAAATTGAATTATTGTTTCAGATCATCGAAAGCAAACGCTCGACGATTATCCTAGGTTAGAGTCAGGTACGTTTTTTTATCGTGATCGGTGGCGCAGAGATCGATCGTACCTGTTGAAAACCCGTTTTCCGGTATTTCGTTAATCGAAACGAGCGTGTATCGATACAGCCGTGTTACGTCACATTTGTACGGATATATTCGTGCTAATCGGATAACTGTAAATTAACAAGACTCCGCGCGCAATATCCCAAGTGTCGCAACTATTGTGACCGACCCGTTTCCGTCCGAGTTCACGATTTCCGTCTGGTTGCGACAGAAACGCTCCGTTCCTTCCTGTTGCTTTTACGATTTCCATCAAATCGCATCGCGATTGTATTAGCGACACTTTTCAAAACGATTGCCCAATATTTCAATACCCGTCTCTCTCGCGAAAGTGTCTCCCAAGTTAGGCTTGGAGTAATCGATTCGTCTTTTTGAAAAAGAAATGAAAGAAAGAAAGAAAGAAAGAGAACGGTTTACGGTTTAAGAGGGGCAACAGCGAAGCCACGTGGTTTTATCTCGTATTGTTTTCGTTGTTCCGAGAGAGAATGCGCGGATGGAAGAAAAAGTGGAAGAAAAAACAGTTTGCGTCCTGTTTTGTGCAGAGCCGCGTCAACAAAAAAGACCGCTGTGGAAGGGTGACGATACGTTGTGCGGTGACGGACGAAGCTGCGAATTTTTTCTAATGTGCTGGATGTCCGCTGGCCTTTTGGACGGCAGTTGCGGCGGCATCATGTTCGCTTGTTGTCAGAGGAGAGAACCGAAAGGTAGCTCCTCCGATTATAACCTGATTGAGGCACCTAGAGATCAGTCTCAGCCGCTTTCGTTGGACACTTACACGGAGACAGTCAACGACGATCGTAAGTCCTTCCTACAGAAAGCATGCCATCCGATTCTTGCACTAGCATGATCACCTCTCTCTCTCTCTCTCTCTCTCTCTCTCTACTACGTACTTACGTTA